TTTTTGCATTAGCGTTTTTCAGCGTTTGCGGTTTTTTCAGCATTTTTGCATTAGGGTTTTTCGTCATTTACTTTTTTTTTTTATCTTTTTTGCATCAGCATTTTTCAACGTTTGCATTTTCTAGCATCTTTGTATTAGGGTTTTGCAGCGTTTTTCGTTTTTTAACATTTTTGCATTAGCGTTTTTCAGCATTTGCCTTTTTTTAGCATTTTCGCATTAGCATTTTTCAGCTTTTGCGCTTTTTACCTCTTTCGCATTAGTTTTTTTCAGCATTGGCGTTTTTTTTTTTAGCATTTTCGCATTAGCATTTTTTTACCTTTTTTGCATTAACGTTTTTCAGCATTTGCGTTTTTTTTAGCATTTTCGCATTAGGGTTTTTCAGGATTTGTGTCTTTTAGCATTTTTGCATTAGGGTTTTTCATCATTTATGTTTTTTTTAACCTTTTTGCATCAGCATTTTTCAGCGTTTGCATTTTCTAGCATCTTTGTATTAGGGTTTTTCAGCGTTTTTCGTTTTTTAACATTTTTGAATTAGCATTTTTCCCGCATTTGCCTTTTTTTTAGTATTTTTGCATTAATGTTTTTCAGCATTTGCGGTTTTTTTTAGCATTTTCGCATTAAGGTTTTTCAGCGTTTGCGTTCTCTAGCGTGGTTACATTAGCGTTTTTCAGCATTTACGGGGTTTTTTTTAACCTTTTTTGCGTTACGGTTTGTCAGCATTTGCATTCTCTAGCATGTTTACAATTAGAATTTTTCCGCGTTTGCGTTTTTTAGCAATTTTTCAATAGAGTTTTTCCGCGTTTGCGGTTTTTTAGCAATTTTTCAATAGCGTTTTTCAGCGTTTGCGTTTTTTAGCATTTTATATTTACTGCGTTTTAACATTTGCGGCTTTTTTTCTAAGCAAAACAAGGCCATATAACGGAATTGATTTCTACGCCCCGAGTTTGTACGAAACGATCGATCTGCAATCAGTAAATCATCGGACAGGATTTACTGCAGGAAGCGATCATTCAGTTGTATCGATCTTATCGCTGGTTGGATCGATCTCTGCTCTGTACTAGCCCCGCCTCACACTGCTGCGACTTCTGGAGCGACCTGCGACACAAAGTCGGCAGACAAGTAGAAGCCCGTCCATTGGGCGCCGTGTACATAGTTTCGGCACGGCTTTCCTGCATCTTTGGCGCGATGTGTCACAGATTGCCGCGGTAAAAGTCACAGTCTAGTCGTTTCTTTGTCTTATCTTTGCGACTCCGGCTGCGATTTTATTTTATTTTTTTGTAAGCCAAAGTTGCATGAAAGTCGCACTGAGGTTGCCTCGAGCCACAAGCAAGTCGCAACGCAAAGTCACGCTGGAAGTCACATGACTTTTGGGGTCGCAGTAATGGGAACCGAGACAGAAGGTAGTTATAAACATCCAATGCTCTGTACAGCTCCAGCTCTGCCGGCACCACGACTACTTCTGCTTCAGAACTGACATTTCTTACTTCTTTTTTGTAAAAAGTTCTGTCATGTGACCATGCATCCTGATAGAGAGGGGCGGGGTTACAGGACACTGTGCAGACACACCCTGTGCCTGTATTCCAGAGTCTTTTCAGCCTGAGGGAAGAGGCAGGCTGTGATTGGGAGGGGGCGTGTTCACAAGGCAGGCTGTGATTGGGAGGGGTCGTGCTCAAGAGGCAGGCTGTGATTGGGAGGGGGTGTGATCAAGAGGCAAGCTGTGATTGGGAGGGGGCGTGCTCAAGAGGCAGGCTGATTGGGATTGGGGAGGGGGCGTGCGCAAGAGGCAGGCTGTGATTGGGAGGGGGCGCGCTCAAGCACAGGCTGTGATCGGGAGGGGGCGTGCTCAAGAAGTAGGCTGTGATTGGGAGGGGGCGTGTTCAAGCGGGCAGCCTGTGCCTGGAAGGGGGCGTGCTCAAGAAGCAGGCTCTCTTTGGAAGGGGGAGTGTTCAGGAAGCAGGCTGCGATTGGGAGGGGGCGTGTTCGAGAGGCAGGCTGCGATTGAGAGGGGGTGTGTTCGAGAGGCAGGCAGTGATTGGGAGGGGGTGTGTCCAAGAGGCAGGTTCTGATTGGGAGGGGGCGTGTTCAAGTGGCAGGCTCTGATTGGGAGGGGGCGTGTTCAAGTGGCAGGCTCTGATTGGGAGGGGGCGTGTTCAAGAGGCAGGCCCTGATTGGGAGGGGGCGTGTTCAAGAGGCAGGCTCTGATTGGGAGGCGGTGTTCTCAAGAGGAAGGCTGTGCTTGGGAGGGGGCGTATTCAAGAGACAGGCTGTGCTTGAGCAGGGGGCATGTTCAAGAGGCAGGCTGTGATTGGGAGAGGGCGTGTTCAAAAGGCAGGCTGCGCTTGGTAGTGGGTGTGTTCAAGAGACAGGCTGTGATTGGGATGGGATGTGCTCAAGAGGAAGGCTGTGCTTGGGAGTAGGCGTGTTTAGGAGGCAGGCTGTGATTGGGAGGGGGTGTGTGCCAGAGGCACTCTGCAGTTGGTCAGGGGGTATGGTAGCTGAACAAACTACCCAATCCAGGCATGCCATGTAACTGCACAGTATCCTGTACCTCTGAATGGCCAACCAAAGGATGAGAACTGACCACACAATACCAGATCAGCTTCTGTACTTTGTGTGGTCAGTTTAGAACAAGAAAGAAAGAGGAGTGGCAGGATCAAGCAGAAACTTCAGATGTAAGAAGTGCATGAAAACGATAGAGACTAGGATTTATAATATACACATCATTGAACACACATGTAGAAAAAAAAAAAAAACATTCAGGGTAACATACATGTTAAGTATACCTTGAAGCCCAAAATTTACTGTCAGAAGAACATACCCCCTCCATGCAGGCAATTCTGTGGTAGGAAGTGTACCTAGGGCCCCAGTGCTACAAAGACACAGTGCTAACCACTTAGCCACCACATTGCCTATGACATCATTCATGACCTCAGCACAAAGCGACGAGGTCATCACTAATGTAATAGGCAATGACAGACTGCAATAGAAGCTTGAAAAGGATTCTAGTCAGGGGCGGACTGACCATTTGGAAACTCGGGCCCTGCCCAAGGGCTCAGGGTCAGTAGGGGGCCCCATGAGATGCCCTTGGTACGTTTTTCATAGGCTTTTTTGAGTTTGGGCAAGGACACAGGGGCCCCATGATCCCCTATTGCCCGGGGGCCCCATGAGTTGTCATTCCGCCCCTGATTCTAGTCCATCCCCACTTCATCCGAAACGAAAAACAATTATATATGCTATATTGTTTTTTGTTTACTATTCCCCCCCCCCCCCCCATGAAAATGGAGTTACCCTTGAAACGCTTCGGCCGGCCCCTGGAATTTCCTACAGCTGTGAAGTTATCAGGAAATCAGCATAGAGTAGAAAGAGGATGAGCGTACCTGTTTGGTCAGGAAGTCGTCGTTGGCGTTGACCTTCAGGGAGATGGCAAGATGAGAGACGGCAAGGATAATCCCGCTTATGACCGCCGCCCTCATCCGCACCGGAAGCAAGGTGTAAATGGTGTAGATGAAGAACACGGTCCACCAGATTCCATCGGAGGCGCTTGGCGGTCTGACCAAGAAGACGCAGACCAACTGCACCATGAAGATGATGGCAATGACGGCGTAACAAGCGATCCACATGTAGTCCTGGTGGAAAAAGTTCCGGGTACACACCACGATGGTCAGGATGAGGATCACCATGGCCACCAACAGAACCACGACATAAGGCACCTGGTACTTCCCATGGAGGCAATTGAACAAGAGCATGACCAGGAACAGCAAGACCAGGACGGACATTAGCATGGTCAGGCTGCTCTGGTTGAGTCTGAAGAAGTATCGCTGGTAGAGCCTCTCCAGTTTGTTGGACTGGAATTTTTTGGAGCGGAATATCTGCAGGATGCCATTGCAGCAGACCCCCAGCGAGAAATGAAATTCCGACCCGTCCTCGACCCCCTCGGCTTTGCCCTTGCCGGACTTCTCGTCCAAGCCAACCTCTACAGATTTAGGCCTCACCTCTCCCTCGGAAGGTTTCTGGATGGGTTTGTTGTTGTTGCGGCTCTCCTCTCCATGTTCCTGCCATGCAGATTTGGACCGGAAGCTCACCCTATGGTCCAACGGAGAGTTTTTCCCCGTCTGGGCTTCATAGTCATCCTCGCTCCTCCATAAACCCATCATCCGCGAGGTCTTCTTCCTCGAGGACCGGCTCGAGTAACCGTACCCATTGATCCTGGTTTCCGCTTCTCCCCAAGCCGACCTGTGCTCGGTACCCGATCGCAAGACAGGAGCCCCGAATCCTGGTGGGCTCACGCTGTTTGACCTAGACATGTCCCCTCGCTACCGAAAAAAAAAAAAAAAAGTCGTGCAGTCCCCCTCGCACCTGGAATGCACTTCACATAATGAGCGACGCGCACACCGATCCGTAATTCGTATCCGAAGTCCCACCAGCTGAAATAATAAGCACCATGTACTCCCCGTATCCTTCCCGCAATCCGCGTCTAGATTTCCGATCCCAAATAAAATGAAAACCGCTCCAGGACCTTCATGTTTTTTTTTTCTGAGCGTTTTAAAAATCTGGACGGCTTTATTGTTCCACCATTGCCATATTTTCTACAAAAATAGAGGAGTGAAAAACGTTCGTCCAGAATTCGAAAAACACCACAATTTTTGGTCAACTTAATCCCGGCGCGGAATTACGAGCGCGGTTCAATCCGTTATCAGCCTTCCGGACGGAATAAATCCCATAATAGCAAGAATTAAATAGATACAAAAAAAAAAAAAAAAGAAGGTTTGGTGTGCAGACCGAAAAGGGAATTAAAATCAAAATCGTCCTCCAATCTCCGATCGGGTGGGCATTGGCTTGGCCGGTCACACCTGAGCAGTTGGCCAGCTGTTGAATCTGGGAACACCCCGCTGGGTCATTGTGAAGGCAGATATTGCATAGTCCCAATGTTCTGTGGTGGGATTAACCCTCAGTGGGTGAGCTTAGCTATACGGCAGTGGCTGGTCTCCATCGGGCAGAACATGTGGACATTTGGAGGATCTCACTGTGTCCATCACTGGAATAGTGACCGTCCTGTTTACATCGACTCCACGTTGCCTCTGTTTGGCGTCAGCCAATACCTCATGGTGGATGGAACCAGAATGGCAGTCAACTGAAGGGTTACAATGGTTAAAAGGTACATCAACGACATGGTGCCCAAGATGCAACGTAACGACATGTGTATGCGGACCTGATCTGTCATCACGGGGTCATGGTCCAAGTACAGGGCCAGAGTCCAGGGCAACATTTGGGCTACGAGCATTCAGGCTGGAAGATGCAGAATCCCCGGTCCCTTCCTCCAGCACACTCACCACCATCAGCAGACAGACGTGGGCAATCCTCATTGTTTATCTCCAGAGCGTTGGGAGCACGCAGTGATCCTCCATCCTCTCCAATCCAGATTCTCACATCTAACGATGCTTTGCTCACCAGAGCCAGATCCTGCAAAGCCTGATATACATCCAGCAAAGCGAGCAGATCTAATGTACACAGAATGGCCCTAGATATGACACCAGATCCCAATGTGTACAGATTGGTCTCAGATCCAACACAGGCTCCCAGATCCCAATGTGTACAGATTGCTCTCAGATCCAGCACAGGCTCCCAGATCCCAATGTGTACAGATTGCTCTCAGATCCAGCACAGGCTCCCAGATCCCAATGTGTACAGATTGGTCTCAGATCCAGTACTGGCTGCCAGGTCCCAATGTGTACAGATTGGTCTCAGATCCAGCACGGGCTCTCAGATCCCAATGTGTACAGATTGGTCTCAGATCCAGCACTGGCTGCCAGATCCCAATGTGTACAGATTGGTCTCAGATCCAGCACAGGCTCCCAGGTCCCAATGTGGACAGATTGGTCTCAGATCCAGCACAGGATCCCAGATCCCAATGTGTACAGATTGGTCTCAGATCCAGTACAGGCTGCCAAATCCCAATGTGTACAGATTGGTCTCAGATCCAGCACAGGATCCCAGATCCCAATGTGTACAGATTGGTCTCAGATCCAGCACTGGCTCCCAAATCCCAATGTGTACAGATTGGTCTCAGATCCAGCACAGGCTCCCAGGTCCCAATGTGGTACAGATTGCTTCTCAGATCCAGCACAGGCTTCCAGATCCCAATGTGTACAGATTGGTCTCAGATCCACCACGGGCTCCCAGATCCCAATTTGTACAGATTGGTCTCAGATCCAGCACGGGCTTCCAGATCCCAATGTGTACAGATTGGTCTCAGATCCAGCACGGGCTCCCAGATCCCAATGTGTACAGATTGGTCTCAGATCCAGCACGGGCTCCCAGATCCCAATGTGTACAGATTGGTCTCAGATCCAGCGCGGGCTCCCAGATCCCAATGTGTACAGATTGGTCTCAGATCCAGCGCGGGCTCCCAGATCCCAATGTGTACAGATTGGTCTCAGATCCAGCGCGGGCTCCCAGATCCCAATGTGTACAGATTGGTCTCAGATCCAGCACGGGCTCCCTGATCCCAATGTGTACAGAATGGTCTAGATCCAGCACAGGCTCCCAGATCGATCTCAGATCCAGCACACTCTCCCAGATCCCAATGTACACAGACTGGCCCTAGATCCAGCAAAGGCTCCCAGATCCCAATGTGTACAGAATCGTCCTAGATCCAACACGGGCTCTCCCAAGATCCCCAAAGCTCCTAGATCCACACAGGCTCCCTGATCCCAATGTGTTCAGAATCGCTCCTAGATCCCACAGGCTCCAAGATCCCATGTGTTCAGAATGCTCCTAGATCCAGCACAGGCTCCCTGATCCCAATGTGTTCAGAATGCTCCTAGATCCAGCACAGGCTCCCTGATCCCAATGTGTTCAGAATGCTCCTAGATCCAGCAAGGCTCCCAGATCCCAATGTGTTCAGAATGCTCCTAGATCCAGTAGATCCTCAGGCCAGGCGATGGTGCAGCTTCCTCCAGCAGGTATTGCAGGTCACAGAGCTGGAGAGCCAGGACACCCCATCCTGCTGCTGCCTCTATACTAGGCTTTGTATTCTCATTCAGCACACAGTGAACCCTCTGAGCCCGCCTCTCCCTGCACACGATTGGCTGAGCCGGACTGTCAGGGTTTTCCCACGGGATGTTACTGGCCGGAGAAGTGTTTGATGCCTGGGGTGTTGTAGAGGAGGAGGAGAGAGACTCTAATCACAGGAGAGACACTGATACAATGTAACACTGCACGGGGGGGGGGGGGGGGGGGGACGACGACAATGTAACACTGACATCATACACAGGGGGGACAATGTAACACTGACATCATACACAGAGGGGACATATAACACGGATATTATACACAGAGGGGGACATATAACACGGATATTATACACAGAGGGGGACATATAACACTGATATACACAGAGGGGGACATATAACACGGATATTATACACAGAGGGGGACATATAACACGGATATAATACACAGAGGGGGACATATAACACGGATATAATACACAGAGGGGGACATATAACACGGATATTATACACAGAGGGGGACATATAACACGGATATAATACACAGAGGGGTACATATAACACGGATATTATACACAGAGGGGGGGTACATATAACACGGATATAGTACACAGAGGGGGACATATAACACGGATATACACAGAGGGGTACATATAACACGGATATAATACACAGAGGGGTACATATAACACGGATATTATACACAGAGGGGTACATATAACACGGATATAGTACACAGAGGGGGACATATAACACGGATATACACAGAGGGGTACATATAACACGGATATAATACACAGAGGGGGACATATAACACGGATATAATACACAGAGGGGGACATATAACACGGATATAATACACAGAGGGGTACATATAACACGGATATACACAGAGGGGACATATACATATATAACACGGATATAATACACAGAGGGGTTCATATAACACTGATATACACAGAGGGGTACATATAACACGGATATAATACACAGAGGGGTACATATAACACGGATATAATACACAGAGGGGTACATATAACACGGATATTATACACAGAGGGGGACATATAACACGGATATAATACACAGAGGGGGACATATAACACTGACATCATACACAGAGGGGGACATATAACACTGATATACACAGAGGGGTACATATAACACGGATATTATACACAGAGGGGGACATATAACACGGATATAATACACAGAGGGGGACATATAACACGGATATTATACACAGAGGGGGACATATAACACGGATATAATACACAGAGGGGTACATATAACACGGATATTATACACAGGGGGGGTACAATCCAGCACTGATAGGATACAATGTATAGAAGGCGTGATGCCATGTTTGGTGTAATATACAGAGTAGTATGACGTCATCCCGCAGGACTCTCACACAGGAATTCAGGATTCCGCTCTGACACACACATCATCCATACCCGCGGCGGCACGTTCTGTAGTCACCGGGTTCTGGCGGAAGACACATTATTATGGGATACATTGGGAGACGATACATGGAACTGGATCACACAGCTGGGAACAATGTATCGCATCGAGTGCCCATCCATGATGAGGACGGGGGGCTCCTCCCCGCAGCTCTGGCCTGGTGTGGGGGTCTGCACGCGGCGGGCTTATCAGAATCCGGAAGCTTCCTTTAACAACAAGGCCTCCCCCCTCCCCCGCTGTGAGGTCATAGACCCCCCCCCCCATCCATTCACCAGAGAAAAAAAAGCTGCAACCCGGAAATCAGACCCCAAATATATATAAAAAAATAAAAATCCCCCCAAAATGTTCCTTGTCAATCACAGTGACGCCAATCTACCTCGATTCCCATTGGCTGACAAAAAAAAAAAAACAAGCCACCACCGACACCGGTCCTGCTCATCCTATGACCATATATGGTAAATGATGTCACTGAGATCCCGCCCCCTTTTCTTACACGTTTCGGGGATTTCCAGCCATATGAATGAATGGGACCAGTGATGTCATTGGATGTCGAGGACTCTGAGGTGCCTGACAGCGGGAAGTAGTAATGCCGCACTTACCCCGCGGTTCACACCCATGCGTTTTCTGCAGGATTTTGCAGAAACGCACAGCAGTCGTTTACCATGATTTCCTATGAGACGGATTCACATCTCTGCGTTTTCACCCACTGTGTTTTTTGGAAAGGGGCGGGGACTTTTTTTTAATGCAAAAAGTTGCGTTTTTTGGTGTTATAGACTTCACTGGAAACGCTGCAGAAAAGCATGTATTGCGTTTTTGCTGCATTTACATTTTTACATCTTAAATCTGCCTAGCAACAAGAAAACAAACGGCGTATTGCAGAAACGCACAGCAGTCCATTTACCATGATTTCCTATGGGACGGGTTCACAGCTCCGCGTTTTCACCCCGATGCGTTTTTTTTGGAAAGGGTCGGGAACTTCTTTGAACGCAAAAAGTTGCATTTTTGGTTCTATAGATTTCAATGGAAACGCTGCAGAAAAGCATGCATTGCGTTTTTGCTGCATTTTTGCTGCATTTACATTTTGCCTTTTAAATCTGCCTAGCAACAAGAAGAAAAAAATGGCATTTTGCAGAAAATGCGTTTTTTGGAAAGGTCGGGGACTTTTTTTGAACGCAAAAAGTTGCATTTTTTGGTTCTTTAGGCTTCAATAGAAAAGTATGTTGTGTATTTTTGCTGCATTTTTTATGCATTTACATTTTTACGGTTTAAATCTGCGTTGCAACAAGAAAAAAAAAAACAAAAAATGGCGTTTTGCAGAAACGCACAGCAGTCCATTTACCATGATTTCCTATGGGACAGGTTCACATCTCCGCGTTTTCACCCCGATGCATTTTTGGAAAGGGGCGGGGACTTTTTTTTAGCACAAAAAGTTGCATTTTTTTTTTTTTAGGCTTCAATGGAAAAACATTTATTGCGTTTTTGCTGCATTTACATTTTTACATTTTAAATCTGCCTAGCAACAAGAAAAAAAAATGGCATTTTGCATAAACGCACAGCTGTCCATTTGCCATGATTTCCTATGGGACAGGTTCACAGCTCCGCGTTTTCACCCCGATGCGTTTCTTGGAAAGGGTCGGGAACTTTTTTTTGAACGCAAAAAGTTGCGTTTTTGGTTCTATAGACTTCAATGGAAATGCTGCAGAAAAGCATGCATTGCTTTTTTGCTGCATTTTTTCTGCATTTACATTTTTACGTTTTAAATCTGCCTAGCAACAAGAAAAAAAAGGCGCAAAAAATATCAAAAAGGCAGGTGCAAAAACGCAATACAAAACGCAATGCAGAAACGTCTCAAACGCAACCTGCATAGGTGTGAACCTAGCGTCATACATGAGGTTTGTTTTCCCGTCGAATGGGTAAATGTTCGGGTGCTCGGGTGTAAAACGTTCGGTCCAAACCTTGAGCTCATCCCTGATTGGACGACAGCCCTGGAACCCGCACCTCCAAACACAAGTCAGCACTGGCAGTTTGTTGAGCTGAATGTCGCGATACGCTTGAACTGACGCAGTGCGGAATTTGCAGGGTTTTCTGTGCGAATTCCGCACCGCATCAGAATCGCATGCGAAGCGCTGCGGGTGTGTATGTTACGTTAATGACACCCCAAAATCGATCCGTAAAACGCGATGCGATGTGCAGAATTGGATTGCAGAGGTGTTAATACCCGTGCAACTCGATTCCAAAAAAGGGTCCTGCGCGTTTTTGGTGCAAATAGAGCCATACAAAATGTACGCCTCAAATCGCACCGCACACAAATCGCATGTGATCTGCGCAGGAATGTTCCTGAATCACATGCGATGTACTGCATCGCATTAGCGTGAACCCGGGCTTTCTTTTTTTTTTTGCATGCCTAATGCAGGCCATAGATGGTTCTAAAATCGGCCAATATTTGTACCATTAG